AAATCACGAGGCCGGGTGGTGTGGGACGTGAGGACCTCCACCGGACGTACCGTACCTGCCCTTCGGATAGTAGGAAGGACAGGAGGGGCAGGTCCAGTGCTGGGAATAATAGGGTTGGGCTCAGCCCACCAGGGTGACCTGTGTGTCAGGTGGGAGGTTCCTGGGACCTGGCCTTCTGAAGGAGGAGGATGGGGTGTGGACTTCTTTGTGTCCTGATCTGGTCCTCCGTGACTGGAGAAGTTGGATGTCCCTTAGTGACCTGCAGTTCCTTTTTTTACACTTAGATTGGGACTTTTCCATGGCAGAAAGAATTGTAAAGGAGGAATTCCCCACCCCATGAGCTGACTGGCCCCTAGCGTCCTTGCACAGGTTACATGGCCTGATTTTGCCACTGCAGGTAGGAATGCTGAGTAAATACTGCTTGGTGATGACACCAGCAAATAGCCCTTAAGAATCTTCTTTGAACTGTCTGAAAGCAAGTCCCACCCAGAGGAGGAACTTAAATGGGCCAATTATGACTTGTGGATTAAGAGACTTGACCATGCTATTCAACATAGCTGGTATGTTACCGAAAATGCTGCCTTAGAGTGTAATTTGCAGCAAAGGGAAAGTTGAGTTTTAAATGAAGTCTTCAAGGGGTGAAGCATATTGAAGGAAAAGAGAATTCTGAAGCAGCTGCGGGTGTTCTGCATCCCTCTTGATCATTTGAATAATTATTTCTGTTCAAGTCTCTTTGTATAGAGTTAATTTAACAGCTATGGAAACATTCCTAAATTAGGAATGGTTTATCCCTGTAGTGGCCTGCGGTAGTGATACAGATGATGGAAAAATAGATGATCTTTATACACTTAGATTTCTTAGAATGCTAGGAAAGTAAGTGTTGTATTACCTTCCATGAAAAACAAAGCACCAGTGTTATTTTCGTATATACCTGGCACTGTCGGTGTCTGGTATGTTTTACTAAGGGCCCCAGACTTGTTGAAGGTGGTGAGCCAGGACTCGGGCTCTAAGTGGAATTGACATGGGGCATAGAGAATTCAGTGTGGAGTAGTAGGTGTATAAAAGAATGAAGGAGAGTCCTCACACTTCAGTGACATAGAAGAAAGTCTAGGGGTGAGCCTTGCCAGGACCCTCTGAGCAGCCGCTACAGTGCAGGGCTTTGGGGAGCTGCATGTGCACCAGGCATGCACCCTGGCTCTGCTTTCCCATGGGGCTTACTATTGTGACTTTCTTAGGGTAATACCTGCTAAATGGCTTTACATACACTGCTTTTTTACTTTTTGTCGTATTTGTATTGCCAAGGTCAGCTGGAAGATAAAAACCAAGTGGAGTTTGTGATGGGTGCTTATCTCGGCCTGTGATTAGGTGACCCTGATGGTGTGACAGGGCTGATGTGCTCAAGTCTGATGGCTGTGGAGGCAAACACTGCTTCACGATCCAGATCCTGCAAGATCATTCTAGGTGGGGGCTGAGCAAGAGCGCCTGGCTCTGGATGGGGCTGCCGTCTCTGGTAGCTTGTGGGCTGAGCGCTATTCCCACCCCAGACCTTCCCCTGCTGAGGTTACTTTGCAGATGGAACTAGGTCCCTGCCCTGGGTAAATCTGAGAAGATCTGAGTTGGATGGTCATGGTCCCTGCAGCTAGCTGTGCTGGTCCTTGAGGAGGTGGCTTGCAGAGGAGGAATGAAACGAGTGCTGGTTTTCACATTTTTGTCAACTTTATTGAGGTGTAATTTGCATATACTCAAGGGTACATATTTAACTTAGGCAGTTTCTTCAGTCTTTACATGTATACACCCCTGAAACCATCACCACACTCAAGATAAAAATGTTTTCATCATCTCCAAAAGGAAAACTAGGGTTTCTTTGATGACTGCTTCTAACAGCTAAGTGGCCTTCAACAGCCCAGCTGGGTCCCATTGCCCCAGGGTCCACAGTCCTTAAAAAAGCACGGGAGTTGTGGGGAGACGTCTTCAGATTTGAAATTCTGGGAGCTTGTGAACACTAATGTGTAATAAAACTATCTTTTGAAGCGTTTACACCAGTTTTTCTTAAAGGGATTAGGCTGTGTGTGTGTGTCTATACAATAAGTCACATGACAGTACAATTCAGAAGATCATATTCAATATGTTGTTTTTATGGTTCAGATAATAGAAAATAAAATCTTAGCAGTCTGGGGGAATACACAGAAGATGGTGTGAGAAGCTAGCTATACAGGGACCTGGGTTAAAAACGGCAAAAAGTACTAGTGGGGAGGTATTCTTAAGTTTTAGCATCTTGGCCTCAAGCTAGAACTGTGCTGAGGTCAAATTTTTCATCTGAAAGTTTTAGATCATTAGCTTTTGAAAAATGGTATCCAAAGGAAATGGTATTACAGCAGCAAAGGAAATGATGGAAGTATTGGGCTGGTGACAATTTTGTTCTCAATCGGAAGACATTCCAGGGTGTCTCTCCAGCTGTGGAAAAGCAGGCAGAAAAAGCCAGGAGACATGTCACCTGAATGACGGTTTATGTTAGAAACAGGCAGGTTCTAGAGGACAACCAGAACTGCAGAAGTTGGCGTTTCTTTAGCCCTTTATCCCAAGCAGTCAGGTATGTCACCTGTATTTAGTCTTTCTTGTCCTTCCCAGTGAGCCTTTGTCAGGGGGACAGATGGGTTGGAAGTAGCCAATGAAAAATCTAGTTAGGGACATTAATTATAACTTAATCTTGAGGACGGTATTGCTTAAAAGCGAAGTAAAGACATGCAAATGCAGATGCTGATATGGTTCTAGCCACACCTTCTTAAAGGAAGAAGGAAAGCAAAGCATTGCTGTACCCCATCCCGGGATCCCTGGAGGCTGAGCTGCGCCCCTTTACCAGAGGCTGGCACATCCCTCAGTCTGTTATGGGCCAGGCCCAGGGGGCCACACACCCAGGCCCCTGCAGTGGGGAGGGGCAGACTTACCGATGGGCAGTGGTGGGCCCATGTGAACCTTTCGGTCAACACTTCCCTTGGCCATGAGCTCACGGGAGCTTTGTCACCTTGCATTCCAGGACCTGCAGCCCAGTAGGTGTTAAATGTATGGCTCTCCCTTTTAAAAATTTTCATTCAGACTTCAGAAAAACTAAACTCTTAAAAGGATAGCATAGAGATTACTCAGATTTATTATGCAGGAATCCAGTTTTGTCAATGTGCCTAGTGCTAAATTTTTCTATACATTATAGGAAAAAGCCCACCTTCCATCATTGTGTTCAATGTCCACTGTCTAGAGACACATCCTTAATAAACCCTGCTTTCCGTCTGTCTTTCAGGGGAACGTTCGGTAGTCGTAATGCTGACGCTGGCGAGCAAACTGAAACGAGATGATGGCCTCAGAGGCTCCCGGGCGCCAGCCACGGCCTCCGACTCCACTCGGAGGGTGTCTGTGAGAGACAGGCTGCTCGTTAAAGGTAGTGTCATGTGAGCTGTTTTAATACCTTGTAACAAAATGACTTCTGACTGGAGGCTCTTTTGGGATGTGAAGCATCCTGTTGCTGAATAGAAACACTTGTTTGAAATGTTTTAAAATGTAATTGCTTATCGCCTACAGTGGAAGGACTTTGTACTATGCACATGGTGTGGAAATGCCAATAGCAAGAAAATGGTATTAAAATGGTGGTGTGTGTTACACACTGGGAGTATTCTCTGCAGGGGCTGCCAGAATGCTAGGCGAAGGAATGGGGTGCTGGGAGCCAGCCGGCCTGGGAGCCTGGTCTCAGTGCTGATGTTAAACGGCTGGGCTGGGCTGGGCTGGGCTGGGGATTCCTCCTTTCTCCTGGACTCTCCGGCACCACCAGAAACTGGGCTGTAAAAAGAGGGAGTAAGGTTTGGTTAGCTCTTAGGATTCTTCTTTATTTAATCAAGTCACAGCCTGAGGAGAGCCTCGTGCAAAATCAGTTGTCTTCACAGAGTTAGTAAGTGTCCTAGAACTGTTATCTTTAGAGAAGGCTTTATATAATGTGTGTGAGTGTGTGTGTATGGGAATATGCATGCAGACCTTTTGCATTCATTCATAAAACAAACTTAACAATTGTCAGGTGCACAGGCAGTTTCCTAGGCTTGTGAGAACTACAAAATAGGAAGACGTGGTTCTTTCCTCTAAGGAGCAAGCAGTTCGCAGCACTCTTACTTTATGGCAAGTGTTTACGTTTCTCAAACATACAGGGAGGGAGCTATGGAGCAAAGAGGGCCTGCATGGCTTTCATGTTGTATCAGGTAGACACCATGGGAGTTACTGGCATTTGTATGTCTTGAAATGGACTGAATGGCAGGATTGTGGTGTGAATGCACCGAGTTCAGCCTTCTCAGAAAGTGTTGCTAAGCTCAGGAAGGAGTAGGACACACAGGTTAAGAAACTTACCCAGATTATAGCTTTATAGCGTCAGAACAGCCAGACCCACATGTTGGGTTGGAGCAGGCTCTGGGGGAGCTGACCCAGCAGACAGAAGCCCAGGTAGCAGAACTGAGGTGCAAGTCCACCAAGAAGAGAATTCAGGGAGGCACAGAGTGCTCAGAGATTCGCCTGGGAGTCCTCAGGTGGGACCTCCAGGCCAGACACAGCCATAAGGGCCTTTGACTTCGTGGGACTCATCCAGGAGAGGTACAAAACCACGTTGCAAGGCCACCTGCTTCCGTCCTCCACGGGGCCCTGGTGGTCATCAGGGTTCTGGTGGTGTGGGCCACGGTGCTCAGTGCCACACAGCCCTCATGTGGCCTCCTTCCTGCCCGTGGGGCTGCTGGGCCAGGCCAGGCTGTCCGGTGAGCAGTTTGAGCTTGTGTGGAGGGCGGGCCTGACCTGCAATGAGGCCATGAATGAGAGCTGCAGGATAAGAAGCACACCCTTAGTGTGGCTGCATGTGGCCGCGGTCTGTTGGAAGGATGTTCAGAGCATTTAGTGGCACTGCGATGAGAGATTTTAAAGTGGGAGCAGTGGCGCAGAGAGGGACTGGCTGTGTTGGAGGGTTGAACACTAGCAAAGCCGCCAGGAAACTTGGTGACCCCTCAGGTGTACAGAGCAGGCCAGTGCAGTGGGGAGGATTTCTGGCTGACAGCACTGGTCTCACGTCAGCTGGGTTTCTGGTGGTGGAGACGGGGCCGGGGAGGCTGTGGTGGCGCGTGGTGAAGCCCTTGGAGGTGGGTATGTGAGAGCCCTTTAGGGCGAAACCCCCCTTTTGGGATTCTGAGGAAAGTAGGGTGTCTGAGTTGAGCAAGAATGCTGCAGACAGGACTGTCATCCTGGGTGGGGACTTCAGCTCGTGCAAGAACGCTGCTCGTGTGGGCCAGTAGGTTACAGAAAGTGGGCACATGTGTCCTTGGGACTGAGTGCCGCAGGCTGGGCTCCTGGAGCCGGGAACCTGTCCCGCAGGACAGTGACGAGGGGTGCCCTTGCGCTGAGCGTCCTGGAGGGAGGTGACGGAAGCTGGGCCAGGCACAGGAAGAAGGCAAGTTCCAAGGAAGACCGTAGGTGGCCTCTGCTGCCGGCTGAGCGCGGCCCTTCCCAGATGCCCCAGTCAGGCACGACGGCCGTCAGGTGGGGACCGTCCTGGGAGGAGGACTTGTGAAGCCCGCACAGTGTCAGCCGCTGGAGGCCATCCATCTGCTGACAGTCCTTGTTGAGAGGAGATCTGGGCTGTGCGCCCCATCACCCTTTGAAAGGAAGGACCACAAAGAGAAGGACAGGCGAAAAGAGACGTTTTTACCCAGTCATTGCCATGCTTGACCACAGTCACGGGGGCGTCTGGCTTGGGGCAGGGCCTGTAGGACTGAGCTGACTGATGAGGGAGGCTGGAGGTCGGCAGGGACACTTGTGCCTGGTGGTAAGGCCCAGAGGTGGCTGCACAGCTGAAGCTCCTGTTCTTTTTCTTGGAGTAGTGGGGCCAGTTCTACAGGGTGACGGAGGCTGCCGCCAGCTTTCCCTGGAAGTACGGAGCCCACAGTAGAGCAGCTGGCCAGGCATGGCCTCTGCCATGCTGGCACCTTGGCCGTGCCAGCTTTTCATGTGCGCCCCTGGGTGGTTCCCCAGGATGCCCTCCGGGCTGGAGCTGGACAGGGGCTTGTAGCAGCCGTCCCTGGGGGGCTGTAGAGCACTCGGGTCAGGTGTCCGCGAGGACTGAGGGCTGCCGTCTGCCCTGAATCCTAGGAGCTGGGGACCTGGGGACAGAGTGTCAGTCTGCATTTCCTCCACCCAGGTCTGGGCCTGCCTGGGGAGCCGTCAGCAGTGTTCCAGCCGTGGGGCAGATGGCACTTTGGGGCCTGAATTTGGTGGTGCCCCCCATCTCCTAAGCCCTCGGAGCAGCATTACTTATTTGCTTCTGTGTCTGTTGGGAGCTTGGCCCTTTCCATTTAGTGGGGGCATGTTTGTCTCCCTGTTCTCTCACCTGTTCACGCTGTTTGATTTAGTGCCTGCTGTGCGCCAGCCTAGCTAGTGACCCCCAAAGACCTTGGGGACTCCAGGCAGGCTGGGAGGAACCTTACACCTTCTTAATCTTTGTTCAACGTGGAGACTTGGAGTTGACTGAGCTCAGGGTCAGGTCTGGAGTTAGGGGTGTAAGAGGGAGTGGATTCGTGTGCAGCTTTTATCCTAATCAGCCCCTGTACCCCTTGTTTCAGCAGTGGCTTCTGGGAATGTGTCTGTGGTGTGCAGCTCTCTGCTCTCCAGGCCTAGACATGCTTCCACCTACACATGCTTCCCAGTGTCTAAGGTGCAGGTGCCTCCATGGGTGCCACATGGGGTCTCCCTTGAGTGGGCACCTCTGGGTCCATGTGGGCAGTTGGATTGTGGGATGGAAGAGATCGGGAGGGCCCCATTCCAGGGGTCCCGGAAGAGTGGGGAAGGAGAAGCGGTTATTACTCTCCAGGGCTGCTGCCGCCCCGCCCTGCCCAGGACCCTGGTGTGGGCTTGGCCTTTGGCTTGTCTGTTGGAAGGATGTTCAGAGCATTTAGTGGCACTGCGATGAGAGATTTTAAAGTGGGAGCAGTGGCGCAGAGAGGGACTGGCTGTGTTGGAGGGTTGAACACTAGCAAAGCCGCCAGGAAACTTGGTGACCCCTCAGGTGTACAGAGCAGGCCAGTGCAGTGGGGAGGATTTCTGGCTGGCAGCACTGGTCTCACATCGGCCTTGTCTGCTGGGACTCCAAGGGGAAAACCCCCAGGCAAAATACCTTTGAAACCGGAATCAGTCAAAGGGAGAAATAAAGTGGGAGAAACCCATCTAATTCTTACAAGTAGCGGTCCCTTTGTTCTCTCCCATTCCTCTTGCGACCTGGCTGCAGAGGACGGGACCCCACCCAACCTCTCAGGTCCGGGTAGGCCCTCCTGTGCCTTTGTAATCACCTGTCGATATGGAGATGCACTAAAGCCAGGCGAGAGATTCTGGAAATACTGAAATTTCACCACATCTATTAATGTGGCAAGTGGGTGGTATGTAATCCTGGGGCTCCATTCCTATTGACACCGGTCTCTGCGACAGCAGCCGTGTAGGCTTTCAGAGTCACATGCTTGCTCCCAGAGGGCAGGGGGCTTGGGGCATTCTGGGCCTGCACTCTGTACAGCTGTGGTGCCCTTAGGCTGAGGGGAGGGGCTGACGGGCAGCCTCCGCGGGGTCCTTGGGCCGAGGCTGTAGTGCTGCAGTTTCTGGAGGGGCTGATGCCCTTGGTTCACGGGTGTTCCAGATAAGGGTACCGTGCATGGATGCTGGGGGTGAAGAAGGGGTGCTCAGGGCATAAAGACAGACAGGAAGCTAAGAGTTAAAGTTCCAGTCCAGGAAATCTAAGAGGTAGTGATTCAGGTGGAAGGAGGTGGTCAGGTGTTCTGGGAAGTAACCGTCTCTCCCTGGGTGGAAAGGGGCAGCTCTCTTGCCTGGTGTTGCCTGATGGGGTCTGGGGAGCCTGCTGAGAACTGTCTGCATCTGACTGGCCTGCATCCCAGTCAGCTCAGGCTCCGCTAGTGAAATACCGTAGCCTAGGGAACCTCAACAACAGACGTTGATTTTTCCTGGTTCTGGAGGCTGGGAAGTCCAGGATCAAAGCACTGGCAGATTTCCTAACGCAAACACCCTCCTGGCTTGCACGCACCTTTAGGCTCTCCAGTGAGGGACCTGACCCCTCATGCTCTCTGTAATCCTGCTCATCTCCCAGGGCCCCCACTCCTGACACATCACATGGCGGTTAAGCCTTCAACAAAGGAACTTTGGGGGACGTACCTCAATCCCCAGCACCTTTGGAATGCCTCTGTCCCCACAGGTAAGAGGAGAAGGGCTCCTCCCATATCAGGACACTCATACTGGGGACAGTGCCACCTTTCTTCTTCGCCAAGTATTTCCTGAGCACCCTGTGTGCGCCTAGCACGGGGCCAGGTGCTGAGGTCACAGGGCTGGGTTAGACTGTACAGCCCCCACCGGGAAGAGGGGCAGCAGCGTGGAAGCCCTGGGAGCGCTGTGTTGTGAGCGGCCTGTGGCAGACAAGCATGAGCACGGGCCGTGGGGTGCCATTGTGGGAACCCGGGAGATTTGTCATAGGATATTTCAGTGTAGTCATCTTCAAGTGGGCTCGGTGGTTTGATCTTTAGTTACAAAGACAAAAAGCCTAGCTTCTCAGAGGGAAGTTGTGCAGCCACGGAACTGTGCAGGGCACCTCCCAGAAAGGCTGGGCCAGTAAGTGGTAGAGGTGTTAGCGTCTTAGCACAGGCGAGACTTTAGCATTTTAAAAATAATTTCTTGTCACCTTACAGGTGGGGCTAGTGTCCTGCGGGCAGTGAGGTCATACACCGAAGGGCTGCTGCTTTGCCAAGAGGCCTCTAGGGCATGTAAAGCAAATCACTTGTTTCTTTGTTCAGTCTTACTGTGCATAGATTCTAAGGTGAGAACCACTGATGTTAATGAATTATTATTTGCCATCATTTGAAGTGAACAGACACTGCTTGTCATTTGACAGCTACCCTAGAGGAACACCGTGAGTACACGTGGCTTATTTCATTCTGTACTGGGCCAAACGGAAGTGCTGAGCATCTCTGTTAAAATCCTTGTGTCCAGGATTATGTTCTTTGCCTGCACTGGCACATGGACCAAAAGCCTGCAGAGGTCTGGACTGTGGTAGGGTCATTGCTGGACTGGGTCCGAGGGCTCCCCTAGCCCTTGTCCACCCTCCTTGACTGAGTGACATTGAACATGTCAGTGCAGACATAACACTCATCTCTGAAGTTTAAATGCTAGACTGCAATATGAAATTATTAAGTCCATCCAAGTAAACAGTTGTGTGTGAACATCTTAACATGGAAAAGGGCCTGTAGTGGTTTCCTGTATTGGGGAGAGTAAAATGCAGAGGCGTAGGCCCCACCTACACCTCCTGGTGTACTTGGTCTGGATAGGGCTGGGGTGGCAGGATTTTCAAAAGCACTGCAGGTATTGAATTGTGTTGATGGACAAACATCTCTAAATCTTACAAAAAATTATTGAATCATACACTTAAAGTGGATTTATTTTATGGTGTATAAATTGTACCTCACCAAGCTGTTAAAAAAAAACGCAAAACACTCCCTAGGTGATCAGTGGGCAGCCAGGGCAGAGAACCCTCTTACACAGTGAGTCTCTGACACCAGCCTCCTGCCCCCACGCTCACTCCAGTTGTGCAGGATTGTCTTGCTTGGGCAGCGCAGTGTCCCTAGTGTGTCCAGGCCTTGCTTTCCCTGCCCCTTGGCCCTAAACTGTCTTCTCAGACATTTCATTTCCACTGTGTGCTTCCCACCCCCCTACCCAGGTCCTCTGGGCATGTTTGTTTTTATTTCACTGGGTTTTGTAAAGTTGGATGACCAGTGTTCTCCTGACTGACTACACACAGGTAGGCCTGCCAGGGGGAGCCGAGTTCTGGTGGCCAGCATCTGCCTCTCAAAAGAAGGACCTTCAAGGACAGTTTCTTGTAAACTTTTAACAAGAAAAGGTTAAATAACAGTGTAATAAAATATGTAAATAGTATTTTCCTTAAAAACATGCTTTAATTTAATATGGATAACATTTGTTTAAAAATTATTAGTATGAGTGACTCATTTGATAAAATGTGTGCTTTTTGGATAAAGCAACTGCCCTGTGTGAGTGTTGGAGCAGAGCGTGGCCTTGGCCTGGTGCACCCCACCTGGTCTGCACCCTGCTTTCTTCAGCAAGTAACCTGCTTTGTGAGGAGTACGGGGTTGGGCCAGTCAGAAAGATGAAACTAACAGTTACTGAGACTAAAGATCCCTGTGGTCATTACCAGGATAACGATAGGGAGCCTTTCACGGGATCATCCTTTTGTTTTGTGAACTGAGTATATTTTCATGTATCACAACACAAGACTGCAAAAAGGCAGACTCCCAGGCCTGTATCTTGTCCCATCTCTCCTGTTCCAGTCACAGCACAGCAGGAGAATGATAACTTACCCCTCTTCTCACGCCTGGCTTCCCTGAAGGGTCTGCATGTCCTGAGTGAGAGCGCTCCATCCATCCCATCCCCTGCACCACCGCCCCCGCCCCCCAAGCAGTGGACTGGGCTCAGAGCCAGGGGGGAGGGGCCGCCGGCACCTTTCCGTTCCCCAGGTCCTTCCCCCTCTGCCCACCCACGTTTCTGGATGCCCATTCCAAATACCTGGGCCCCACAGCTAATACATTTAGTAGGTCACCTGTCTACCCAGATTCCTGCCCAAAGCCCTTAGCCTTGAATGGCACCGTCTGTCAGCTTTCCCTTGGCATTGTGCTTTGCTGCCATGGCCTCTGTGCTCCCCTTCCCCTCCTTTGGCCCCCTCTACTTCCCTGGAAGGAATTGGCACACCTGCTGCTTCTGTATTGTCACCTCCCACTGGCTTAGCTTTTGTAATGCGGTTTCCATCTTTCCACTTGCCTCCCTGATGTTTTGAGTGCCCTCAGCAGAGTCTGACTGACTGACTGACATCGGGGCCTTGCCTTGGGCCTCTCCCCTCACACCTGCTGCCCTTTCTTCACAGGATCACGACGTTCCCCAGCTCTCTCCTACTCCTCAGCCTGTTTCTCATCAGTAACTTCCCTGTTCCTCGTTCTGCTCTTTACCAGGTTTCTTCTCACCAGTCTCTCCGCCCTGTCACTCTCATGGGGCCAGGGGGCATCACTGTAGGGGCTCCTGGGCCCTGGCTGTGCACCCAGCCTTCAGCATCCTCCTTGGACTTTCCCGGCATAGCACCCCCGGTGCCATCTCTGCCCCTCCTGCCCTACATCAGTGGCAATCCTGTCATCCTCTGCTTCCAGGCACCCTGACACTCTCTCTGCCTTTGCTGGGCCCTTGCTGCCTATCAGAGTGCCCATCTCACAGGTCATCTGACCTCTGCTTTGCCCTCTAAAGTTGTTCTCTTAAAGCAAAGCTCTGACGCACTTGTTCAGAACTCTCTCTTGGCTCCTTATCACTGCAGAAGTGAAGTTTGCAGTTCTGAGTGGGGCTCTCGGCTTCCACGGCGCTGGCCCCGTTTTCATCCTTGCTTCCCGTTGCTCTTGCTGCTCTGGCTGTACTGTGTACCTTCTGGTCTCTGTGCGTGTCTGGGTTGTATGTCTTTGCACATTGCTGACTTAGCTCCTTAGAAAACTGTTTCCCGCCTCTGCAGCACTGCATTCTGCTTGTCCTCTGCAGCCGGGCCCCCAAACCTCCTCCTTCCCTGCATCTCCATAGCTGGCGAGAATCTCTGTGCTCGGAGGACCCCAGAGCATGCATGTCATGTTATGTCGGAGGCACAGAAACTTGCCTGCCCAGTTACTTCTGGATGCTTCCAGACCTCAGCTCAGCTCTTGGTGGGGGGTTGCGGCTTTGTCCCGGGAGACGGGTGCTGGGCTTGCCCACTGAATGAGTGGCTGGTGGAAGAGCCCCTAGAGGAGAGTGGTAGGCCAAGGAACATGGCCCCAAGGAGGCGACTCCCTGGGGTGGCTGGCAATGGCCGCAGGTGACAGTGGTGGCGGTACCTGCCCCAGCAGGAGGCTCTCTCACTGGGAAAGTGAGCCACTGGGTGAACCTTCGCGGGAAGGCAGGTCTGGAAAAACTGGAGGAGGCACAGGTGTACGTGGTGATCAGATGTTGCAGTCAGTGTTCTGCTAGTTGTGGTAGCAAGACTGTCACAGGCACTCCAGGGACTGGCCACCTGTAGGTAGTCTCTCTGTTAACTTGAAAGGATTCTTCGCCTACTAAAGTAACCTTCAGGCGCTCTGACTGCCTGTGTTGGCTTCCTGCAGGTCACGTGTATATTGGAAAGTAGCTTCTTGGCTTCAGGTCTAAACTCTGGGCCAAGTGTAGGTTTGGGTTACTTCAGCTAATTTTTTTCCTCAGTGTCTTAGAGAAATTGCCAATTCAGAGCTGGTGGTTTTATGTGGAGTAATTAACTAATATTGACAATGATCTTTTTGTTTCTACAGAGGTTGCAGAACTTGAAGCTAATCTACCTTGTGAGTATAGCATCCCTGTTTAAGTGTGACAGATGTGCCATAAAATCATTGCATGAAGAAGCTTATATATAATAGCCATGCATAACATAAAGCTTGTTTTTCATGTGTATTAGGAATAAGTTTTAATTTTGCACAAACAGGCAGGCTCTGACAAAAATGAGGTATTCACCATCTTTCTGAACAAAGCTGACAGTGCTCCCTCCCCCGTGGCGGAAGTGCATTTGCGCAGGGTTTGTGTGTCTTCCACAGCGTTCTGCCCCACATCCTCTCTGAGTGAAAAGGTGGATAAACCAGCCTGTTTTCATTAGTGCCACTTTTTGGCCCTGCAAGTACATATTTGTAACTTACCTTTGTGCTCGCGGCAGGATGGCTGTGCTGCCCTCCCAGCCCTGGCACCCTCGCCTTGCTTGGGCTCCCGCTCAAGGAGACAAGCCGACTGCTGTCCTCACTTGTGAGCAAGCTCGAGCACCGGGTGGCTCCCCTGTGATAGGTGTCAGCATTTCTTATTTTTCCCCTATCATTGATCCCTTCCCAAGCCCTTTCTATTTCATAAGACCATCAAAGTCTGAAAGCTTTGACCATCTTTACTTTCTGAATTAGAACTTTTTAGCATCAGATTTGGTTAACCGTAGTTCTAGGGCTAAGGATGTTTGTGATATGGGGAGATACCGGTCCCCTGGTCTGGGGAGTGCTACAGGCCAGTTGGATGTGGAGGCACTTCTGACACAGGTAGGTGTGGGCCCACAAGCCTCTGTCTAAAGGTGGAAGGGTAATGGTGCAGTGCAACCCTAAGCAGTTTGAAGTCAGAGTGTAAGGGTGAGTGCATACTGTTTCTTGAAAAATTATTATAATATAGCATTTTTGTATAGGAATATTAGGCTGTGATATAAAAATACATTTCTTAGTGTGGGTGTCAGTCAAAAATGTCTTAAAAGTGGCTGGATTGCTTGACCTCCAAGTTGTCTTATAGTTAGAACTAGAAGGAAGTATCTTGGGGTTATATTAAAAGGTTATCTTTCTTACTAGTGGAGTATTTACAAATGATTTGCTTTAAAATATTCCAGGGAAAAAAAACAACAACAAATAAATAAACCCTTGGCATATATATATATTTTTTAACATGTATCTCACTAGAAAGGTGGCATTTATCTTTACAAGCTAAGATTAGGAAAAAATAAAGCTTTAATTAAGGTTTAAATTATTTTGTGCACAGTTCAGATGTGTACTTTGGGTGAAAGTCTGGAGCTCTTTGGCCCCAGTTTCTTTATTTCTAAAATAAGGAATATGACAGTATAATCTGGCTCTTCCAGACTGTGCTATCTTTCACTCTGCATTGATCTTCTGAGAGATTGGTAAAGAGGAGACCCCACTGACAGTCCTGTGTGGTTTTTATGTGTCATACGTAGCATGTTCATGAAGCAGTGACACAAGGTATAGTGAAAGGAGCCATGGACTAGTTTTTACTTTGGGTGCTTAACTCCTGTTGGTAACCTGTGTGATCTTAGGCTGGTCACCAAACTTCTCTGAACCATGTCATCTCATGGTTGAGGACGTTGGACTGGATGGTCTCTAAAGCCATTTCCAAGTCTAAATTTGAGTCATCCTGTTTTTGACGAAAATTTATACCATTGTAAAACTAGGCAAGTATTTTCAGTGGGACTTGTAAGAAATAAATTCAGTAGGTGACCCAAGGAGTTCAGCATAATGTCTTCCAAGTTTATAAAATATGGACAGTTTCTACATATATTCCTACCACATTCCTTGGGTATTTAGCAGTTTTCTGTATCATTCACTTGAAGGAGGAAGATCTAGGATAGAGCCAACTTTACTAGCAAGTAGCACTCTTCTCTCAGTGGGAAGCCCTTGCCCTGAGCCAGACCCCTTCTGGAGTGGCAGGCGGGCATAGAGCATTGCATCTGAGTCAGCAGAGTGCCATTTTGCCAGCAAAGCAAGCTGACCCACCAGTTGAGTTGTAAAGACATTACAAAAATGCCATGGTAAACTCTGGGTGTGAGCCAGCAAAGCTGGCATTATGTCTTCATTTTCGTAAGCTGTGGTGGGCACGAATGACTGGTGCTGGCTGAGCAGACTAGAAGTTTGGCCTGAGCTGTTTGCCTGGTTTTTCCAGGTTGAGTTAGCCTTTACCCACATGTGTTAATCTCCCTGAGGTATGGCTGTTCATTTCCAAGTGAAATAGCATAATTCTAGAATAGAAATATCTCTTTTTATGACCATTTAAAGGTTCAAAGAAAACATCTCAAATTGGAGTTAATGAGTAAATCACTATGAGGAAAACAAGTGACAGAAATGGCCAGTTTGCAGTTTTAGCATGTTGGCATAGTTACTTCCAGACCAGCAGTGAGGGGGACCCCTGAACTGGTCTGCAGCACCTGCAGCCCTGTAGGCCTCATGTGTGTTTCAGTGTTAGGCTGCTGCTCTGACCACCCTGATGTGCTGTTTCTTTTGCAGGTACATGCAAAGTGCATTTTCCTGACCCAAACAAGCTTCATTGCTTTCAGCTAACTGTAACCCCAGGTAATATTCTTACATACTTAAGTGTTAAAGTGATTTTCAAACAGCAGATTTTAAAGGCTGCCACACCTATAATCTTTGGCTTGATTGTCCTCTTCTTGAATGTTATGACGGTGCTGACCAGTCCATGTGAAGACATGCTTTGTAGTCAAATAAAGCACAGGAAAGTGGGTCTAGGCACTCAGTGTAGACTCCAGGAACTGGGCACAACCCATGACAGATGTGAAGGACGTTGGTGGCTGCTGGTGTGCAGTGAAGAGCCGGCCTTGAAGTCACAGCGGGCTTGGCTCTGCCCACCATCATCGCATGACCACATTCAGTCGCTCACTGACCTCTCAGGTGCAGCCCACCCAGCTGCAAAGTGGGGACTGGCCAGGACCTGTCTCCTGGGACAGTTGTCAAGGTTAAGTAGATATGTACGGAGCACTTCAGCATAAGGCCTGCCATCTGGGAGCAAGCAGATTACCAGCTACCCTGCTTGGGACTGATAAGGCCTAAGCTCTGAGTGCCCTGGGACCCTGATGCATTTCTCCTCGGCCGGATGTGCAGCGAGAGGGATGACTTGTGCTTTTCAGTCCAGTGCCTCCTTGTGGCGTTCATGGTGGGCAGTGGGTGTCTTGCCACGCCCCGGGTGCTGCTGCAAGGTGCAGGGAAGGAGGATGGAGGGAATTAGCAAGGAGGTCGGGGGTGTTGTGGAAGAAAGGGAGAGTGTTATTTTATTTGGTGGTTGAAAGAGGAGTCAGAAACAGAAGAATGCATCATCATCCAATGAGAGAGTGAGAGAAAATGCAGCATTTTACTAGGTGCTAATGAACCACAAATAAGCCCTGCGGGCAGGATGGGCTTTTCCTATGGAGGAAGTTTTATAGGAAACAGGAGAATCCCATTTTCAAAATGTGCTTGGAAACTTCTAAAAACTCTTGGTGGTTCTGGGACCCATACATCGAGTCTGGTACCATTTCCACTAAGCCGAGCAAGCGCTAAGACACAGGCAGTGCAGACCGCCGGGTGGAAATGGGGTGCTCACGTGCCCAGCACTGACAGACCTGCAGCGCAGGACTTCCAGCTCGGAAAAGTGAAAATTGTAACCATTCTTGGCCGCCCACACTGAAACACGCGCACAGTCTGCTGTTTCAGCGCGAGGCTTCAAGCACACTGCAATGTTTCTTGGTGACTCAGGGTCACCATTATGAATGTCATTTACTGTTGCTTTTGAGCAGTATAGGGTGTTTTCAGAAATTACCGTGGTGATTAAGATTGGTTCTCTGTTTACCGATTGGCCTCGGACTTGTGTGTTCGTAGTGAAGTGTTTTCTTCCCTCTGCCCTCCTAGGGCCTGTGCAGTGGCTGTTGGGGCTCCTGCCGCTGTGCTCTGCCCAGGCGTGGGCTGTGGGCCTCAGCCCCTCACAGGCCTTGATTGACTTTGCCAGACTTGTTACCATCTTGCATGAGTGAGAGTTTGTGTTGAGTGCAAACTCCGGATGAGCATTTTTCTTTTTATTTATTTATTTATTTAATGTTTTTTATTTTGGTATCAGTAATCTACAGTTACATGAGTGACGTATGGTTACTAGACTCCCTGCATCATCGAGCCCCCATCACGTACCCCATTACAGTCACTGTCCATCAGCCATTTTTCTTTTTCTTTAACTGGATTTTTTTTTACTGAATTACACAGATGTTGTGATTGTTGAGCTTGTCTGTGTGAACGCATCTTTGGTGTTATTGTTCTTGACAATGGATTGTTCTTGACAAACAGAAAAATGCATCATCATCCAATGAGAGAGTGAGAGAAAATGCAGCATTTTACTAGGTGCTAATGAACCACAAATAAGCCCTGCGGGCAGGATGGGCTTTTCCTATGGAGGAAGTTTTATAGGAAATGGGAGAATCCCATTTTTAAAATGTGCTTGGAAACTTCTAAAAACTCTTGGTGGTTCTGGGACCCATACATCATTGAGTCTGGTACCATTTCCATTGACAATGGATGACAGTTTGCCGCACTTCGGGTGCCACTGTTCCATCCGCTGGAACAGCAACCTGTGCTTTGGCGCCTGTAACTCCTTGGTGCCTTAGCATTTATATGTGTCATAGTGCAGCAGGGACACTGTTGTTGCACTGAGCTCTGTGCCCAGCATGCCTTTCAGATAGTGTGTATATGCCCTTATTTTATGTCAGTGAGTCGGAATGCTGCCTCGGTTCCTGCCCTGTGTTACTAAGAGCAGCATAGCAGAGAGCTGCCAACCCTAAAAACTTGCCTAATATTGTGGTTTTTAAAAAACTTCGGAGTCATGCTCCTCTTGGTGTTGAAAAACAAATTACAGAGACATGCCTAAGTAATAAAGTATGAACAGTGCATGAAACAGATGGTTTTGAAACTGGCACATATGCAGCCAGTAATCCTGAGGCTGAGTCTGAAAACTCAGTAATCCTTAAGATAGAGATATTCGGGTGCTCAGGGAGGGAGAATTGCGTCTGAGTTTGAAGCTCAAACTCTTCTTTATCAGGCTCCTGGGAAGGGAAGGTAGTTCCTCATCATACTTGGTAACATTTTCATAGTTTTGTTTGTTTTTAGAATGTCCCTCATGCTTGGGAATAAGTGCATTCTTCACAGAAAAGATGGAAGTATAATTTGGTGATAGAGGAAAAGAAAACACCTGAATTTAGGGGGAAAAAAGTCTCCACATCAACTCATAAAATAAGAAAAAGTACTATTAAATGAAGTGAAACAAGACAAAACAAACACTTAAAAACCGGCTGAAATACCCCCGGGAGTCTCGGAGGGATGGTTCAGGGCCCCGTCATAGTTGCCTGGCTGACTCGTGGAAGCCCCCTCAGCCTTCTCCACTGTGACATGGCAAGGGGACCATGGACTCAACTATTTTTTTATTTTTGCTTTTTGCTTATTAAATAAATTTTACTGAGGTATATAATTACTAACAATAAAATGTGCTACTCTGAACTGTGCGGCCGAATGGGTTTTGGAAAAAGCATACAGCTGTGTAACACAACCCCCAGTACAGGTGCTGCTGGCGTCCAAGTCCTCCTGCCTCCTTGCGGTTGATTCCCTGCCCCTGCCTCCCGCCCCGAGTTTCCTTTTCATTCCTGTTTCCATAAATCAGTTTGTCAGTTCTTGATTTCATATAAATCTGGCATCTTTCACATAACATGTTTTTAAATTCACATGTTGTGTGTATCAGTAGTTGGCTCACTTTTGTATGCATATTCCATAATTGATCATTTCCCTGTGATGAACATTTGAATTCTTCCCAACTATTGGCTATTATTTTATTATTTTTTTCTTTATTTTATTATTTTTTTTATTAAGGTATCATTGATGTACAATCTTATGAAGGTTTCACAAGAAAAACAATGTGGTTACTACATTCACCCTTATTATCGAGTCCCCCCGCCCTACCCCATTGCAGTCACTGTCATCCGTGTAGAAAGATGCCACAGAGTCCACACTTGTCTTCTCTGTGCTACACTGTCTTCCCCATGACCCCCCCCACACCATGTGCACTAATCATAATGCCTCTCGATCCTCTTCTCCCACCCTCCCTCACCCCTCCCCTTTGGTAACCACTAGTCTCTTGGCTATTATTTTATTATGTCTACTGTTAGCTTCTCACACTATCCTTTGGATACTCACTTTTCCTTTCTCTTCAGTTCCATGTAAGAGTGAAATTTCTGAGTCAAGGGAACGATGTATGTTTAAGTTTTTAGGAAACGTTCTAAAGTAGTTGTACCATACATTGACCATCAACGTGTGATAAATTTCAGCTCTTCTACATGCTTACCAATACTTGGGTGTGAAACAGTCTCTCATTGTGGTTTTAATTTGCATTTGCTGGTGCTGGGGTTTTGATTGAGACTGTGTTGTCTGTAGACAGGTTCAGCAAGAAATGACATCTTAACAGTGTTGAGTCTTCCAATCAGTGAGCTTGGTAAATGCTGCCAGCAACTCCGATCTTCTTTAGTTTCTCTCAGCAGTATTTTGTAGTTTTCTGTGGATAGGTCTTACAGATACTTTATTAATAAAGTTGACACTGAGTATTTAGTGTTTTTTGAAGCTGTTGTAAATAGTATTTTTTAAATATCCATCTAACTTGTTACTAATATGTAAAAATACAATTGATTTTTAAAATACATCGATCATGTGTCCTGTTAACTTGCTAAATTCTAGTAGCATTTAATATTTTCTTAGGGATTTCCATGTGCATGATCATCATGTCTGTAAATAAAGGCATCTTTCCTTCTTTCTCATCAGTGTGCATGACTTTAGTTTCTTTTTCTTACTGTGTTGGCCATGACCTCCAGTACAGTGCTGAACAGGCGCAGTGAGCGCCCATTTTTGCCTTGTTCCTGATGCTGATCTTAGGGGGAAAGTTCATTTTCCAATGAATACGATGTTAGATTTTTTGTGTGTATTTTTTTTTTTAATGCCCTTTATCAGGTTGAAGAGTTTCCTTCTTTTCCTGGTTTGCTGAGTTTTTACCATGAATGTGTGAATTTTTTAAATGCTTTTTCTGCATCAGTTGAGATGATCATTTTATTTTTCTCCATTATTTTGTAAATAATGGTGAATTATATTTACTGATTTTTGAATGTTAAAGCAACCTTGTATTCCCTACAATAAACCCCATTTGGCTGTGATGCACTATCTGTTTTTTATATTGCTAGATTCAATTTGTTGTTTTACTATAGAATTTCGTGTCAGTATTCCTGATGACTGTTGGTTTGCATTTTTCTTGTCTTATAATTTCTTTATCTGGTTTTAGCAGCAGGGCAGTGCTAGCCTGCCTGGTAGAACAGATGAAGAAGGGTTCCCTCCTGCTCTCTGACAGAGTTTGGGTAGGATTGGTATTATTTTGTCCTTAAGTATTTGATAGAATTCACCAATGAAGCAAATTGGACCTGGAGTTTTCTTCCTGATAATTTTTTATTTATTAATTCAATTTATTTAATAGATATAAAGTAATGCATCTGTTATGTTTCTTAAGT